GGACGGTGGGGTTTGCCGCAGAAGCAGGGAATGGCACAGGCCACCCGTTCCCAGCCCTCACCGCCACCCTGCAGGATGGGTTTGAAACTGGCCTGCAGAGGCTGACGGACGCTCCCAGTCGGCATGGCAGAGAGCAACGGGGCCGGGATCTGAGACCAGGTCTTGGAGAGTCCAAGGTCCATGCTCTCGACACCTGCCGGAGCTCTCTTTTKTGCCAAATTCTGCCTTGAAGGAGAGGTACTGGTGTTAAGTATCTCCACCCTCCCCTTCCCCCGGATTCCCCCAGGGAAGCTGCCCCTCCGCTGACCATGTAGCTCAGGTTCCCCCAGCACCTGGCGGACACAGCAGGGGTACAGCCACTACCTACTAGAAACTGAGGCCTGTGCTTCCAGGCAGAGAATGTGTGGGGACCTGCTGGGACAGACTCCCTCCTGGCTCTAGCACCCTCCTTCACAGCCAGAATCCAGGCCCTGCTGGGCAGGGTGGAGGGCAGGGCTTCGTCCACCAGTCAGGCTAGACTTGGGGCCACTCACTGCTTCCCTGTCCCAAGGGAAGTGCCTGGAGGGCGGCCTTCCCAGCCCACATAGCCCTCTTCTCAGAGCTGCCCAGGAAACCATGCTGCTTGGACGGTCAGGGCCTGGCCAGCCCCTCCCCCAAAGGACACTGACTGGACCAGGGTGGGCAGCGGGCGGGCCCCCCTAGGCGTCAGCCTTCCCTCTTCTGAAGCAGCCCTTCCAGACCCCTCTGCCCTTCCTGCTCCGAGTGCGGAGCCACGCCACAGCCTTACGGTAATTCCCCCTTTGCCTGAGCTTTCCTGAAATGAGTTATAAAATTTTATTTTATTCCTGGCAAATAAGATAGCCTGGGTAAAATCAAGGAGGAAGGAGAGCTTCCCCTTCAAGCCCTTCCCCGCTCCCCAGGCAGAGCTAACCACACCTCCCGACTCTGCCTTCCCCTTCCYCCTCCCCGTGACCATGACCTTTCTGAGCTAAGTGCCTCCCTCTGCCTATCGTGCCCATCGCAGGGTCAGGACTGGTCCACTCAGGGGGCTGGGGGGCGAGGCCACYACACTGCTGATGAGGTCACAGATCTTCTGAGGTCCCTTGTCTAGGAAGAAGCAGGATCAGGATGTGAACCCAGATCTTCTTCCCCTGACCCCACCTGGTATTTCCCTGGGCTCAAAACCAGCTGTTCCCATGCCCACCTCAGTCTCCGCCCCTTGGCAGTCACCATGACTGATTTCCCTCTGCTCTGGCATGAAGATGTTCCATAAGAAGGGATGGAACAGAATTTGTGATCACAACGGCATGGACCAGGAATCTCCTCGGGAGCCGCTCTGTTGTCCTAGACTCTGGCTTTTTGGTGCTCCTTCCTCACCAATCATACCAACTTCTGATTTTCTGGATTCCTGACACCCTGGCAGTCAGCCTTGCTGATGGGGGAGACACCCCACCTCCCAAGCCAGCCAATTCTCAGCCCAGCACAGGAGGCCCCTCCTGCGTGCTGACTGGCCAACCCAGAGCCCACCCCCGCCAGCTCCTGGGTCAAACCCTCATCAGGTCAGTATCCCCCTGCCCCAAATCCACCTGGGCACCAGACACCTGAGGAGAGTCCCCAGGTCCCAAAGTCTCTGGACATTTTTCAAGTTAGCCAGGATGTCCACGTCATGCTGCCCTGCCCTGCCTTCCCTGGGACATCACAACGAAGGCACTGGGCAGGGCCTTCCCTCGCCATCTGTGCCCCCGAGACCGATCCTGATCCTGGTGCTTCCCCTCGTGGCTTCCCCCGTGCCCCCCCCCACCCCCCGTGGCCCCTTCTCTTGGGGTACAATCTCCTTTCGATGGCACCAGCCTCTCTACAATGTCATTATAAAGTGAGGCCCAGGCCTGATCCAGAGAGAACAGCTTCTATCAGGACACTGACCGCTATTAATTAAGACTCTGAAAACCAAAAAGCACAGGGACAGGTCCTGCTCTTCCCAGATCGAGGCCTGGTGTCGGCRGCACTAGGGCCGGGCCCATCCAGGAACTCCTCCACTGTGCCTTTGGACTTGAAGGGAGGGTGGTTGGTTACTCCTGGGCAGGGAAGTGGCTGGGAGAGGAACAAGGAAATTTTTGGTACTATAATGCTCTTGATCTGCGGGCTGGTCCCGTGTGCCCTCTCTCTGTTAAAATCTCGCATCTAGTGCTACGATTTATACGMTTCTCTGTATATATAAGAGCATTTGTCTCGCAAGTGCAAGACCCTGGGTCCAATCCCCTGTAGCACATTTAAAATAAAGGGGGGTGGAGCTGGGGCTGTAGCTCAGTTGGTAGAGTGCAATCCCCAGAACCACCAAAAACAAAAAAAAGTCTCTGGCTTTCAGCCCSAGATGATCAGTTTCTCAGGACAAGTTGGGGGTGGGGGAGGGAGCAGCTCAGATCACCTCCTCTAGAAATCCCCCACCTGGCTGATCACCCGAGTCACCTGAGGCATTTTTATAAAATGTAGACTCCAGTTTGTAGATATGCTCAGCCACGATTTGCAGCTGAGTAAAGAAGAGGGGGTGAAAGGCAGAGATGAGCCCAAGAGGGAGAAACCTGTGTATTTTAGGGCACCCCCAGGTACTTCTGGTGGCCAGCTAGGACTGGGGACAATTCATGAACTCTGCCGCTTCATTTCACAGAGACAAACCGATGTAGAGAGAGGGCCCGAGACTTGCCTGAGACCACCCACCAGTGATGACGGACTGGGCCAAGACCCTCTTCCTATCACAGCCCTAGAAGAATACGGTGGCCGTGCAGGGAGGGGAAATGACAGGCTTTCACAGAAAGAAGATCAAGGAGCAGGACGCCCACAGTGAGAAAGTGTCACCTTGGCTCAGAACAGACCCAACTCTGGAACCAGCTACACAGCTCTCCTGGGCATGACGGAGCCGGCCGGGTCCGAGTCAACCCTGGCTCTGCAGAGAGCCCAGCTCCAGGCAAATCTGATGACTTGTGTGTGCGCACAGTGTGCTCGGCTCGTCAGGCGGAATTGAGATGATAAAAGCCTTTGATTTTCCCCAGTGCCCTATTTATTCTTCCTGCCTCGTACCCTTCTTTGACACGCAGGAGTGACACAGCACATTGGAGGGGGCTCTAGCAAAGAGGGGACTCGGCCAGGAGTCGAGGCATGAAGGAGATAGTACCCTGTGGCACATGGGTGAGGAGCAGGGTGTTCTTGTTAGCCTGACCCTGTTTAAATTCTGGGCCTCACATAACCTCTCCAAAGGGGTAACAGCAAGTACGTGGCAAACCCTGGTCACTGTGCACAAGTGACTGCTCCAAGTGCTTCAACTGGCGAATTCACTTCATCCCCACTACCGCCAGGAGACAGAACTACCATTAGCCCATCTTACAGATGGGGAAAACTGTGGCTGCATTCAGTATTATTTATTGTGAAGATTATCTGAGAAAATGCATGTGAGAACCAGCAGGTACCTGGGCAGAGCATAAGGCTCAATAAACATTAGTTGTCGTGATCTAGAAGTAATAATATTCTAGTTCTGCTTCTGAACTTGCTACGTGATCTTCAGTATGTCACTTCTCATCTCTTGGCCTGAGTTTCCCAGTCCATAAAAGGAGGGGGTCTAAGTTCTTCACTGGCTCTAGGGTATTATCAGTCTCCGATTGATCCAGGAAAAAAACAAATAAAACCTAAAATCCAAGATGCTGTACTCAAAGGTATTGAGAAATGTGGATASTTGACATTAGAAACCCCTTAATTTTAAAAAGGCTCATTCCCTTTGACCTAATAATTGTACCTCTGTGGATATAAGAAAATAATGAGAAAACCTGAAATGAAACCACCATTTGACCCAGCTATCCCACGCCTCAGTTTATACCCCCAAAATTTAAAATCAGCATACTACAGTGACGCAGCCATATCAAGGTTTATAGCAGCTCAGTTCACAATAGTTAAACTATGGAACCAACCTAGATGCCCTTCAACAGATGGATGGGTAAAGAAAATGTGGTACATATACACAATGGAATATTACTCAGCCATAAAGAAGAAATTATGGCTTCTGCAGGTAAATGGAAGGAACTAGAGAATGTCATGCTAAGTGAAATAAGCCAATCCCAAAAAACCAAAAGCTGAATGTTTTCTCTGATAAGCAGATGCTGATCCATAGTGGGGTGGGGGGATAAGGAAGAAGGAAGGAACTTTGGTTTGTGTAGAAGGGAGTGAGGGGAAGGTTGGGGCTTTGGGGGATGGGAAGGACGGTAGAAGGAGAGAGACATTATCATTACACTATATAAATGTATGATTAAACTACTGGAGTGAATCTGCACCATGTATAGCCAGAGGAACGAGAAGTTGTGCTCCATTTGTGTATAATATGTCAAAAYGCATTCTGCTGTCATGTATAACTAATTAGAATTTTAAAAAATAAGAAAAAAATCAAGAGATGGACTCAAAGATTTACATTCTGTGATGTTCGCCATTTGCAGTCACCCCAGATTAGAAACGACCTGCATATCCAACAACGGGGCGTGTTCTACAACAGCTCAACAGATTACTGGGCAATCATTCAAAAAGCACCCGTTGGCTCACTCTCATGGCTATGGGGAAATATTCTACAAGTTAGATTAAGTGAAACAACCAAGATCCAAAACCTCATGTACAACATGACCCTGAAACTGTAATACCAAAAAAAAGACACGAAGGAGATAAGTCATGGACACCGATCGCCTGCAACTCCTGGAACACGTGATTCTTTAAAGCATGGAATCTTCTAAGTAGGAATGCACTGCCTTCCCCTCTGCTTCTAAGCTGTGTCTCSACCTCCCTATTTTTATGGGTTTTAATGAGCATTTCCTTTCTCTCGGTTCCTGTTGCCCTGCCTATGTGGGGGCCGTCTGTTTCTGCCTGCCACAGGCACGTGCACCCTGGATACATCTGCCAGTCAAAGCCACGCTGTGTTGTTTTCTGGTTTGAAAAATGTAAAATTCCCAAACCAGGAGAAAAGTCCTTGCCTTGTAGGAGAAGGAAGCCTCGCCCCCGGAGGCGGCGCTGCTGGTGGGCGGGAGCTGCTGCAGCTGCAGTCCTGCGCGCTGGGCTCCGTCCATGGCGCTCTAGTGGCTCATCCTCAGGGCCCGGCCTGGAGCTGGAGTGCGGCTACGCCATCCTCCCCAAGATGCTCACCTCCTCCCGGCAGCCATCTCCTCCTCGGCCAAAAAGCACTCGAGGCTCTTCTGGCTGATCTATAGCTTTCTCTTCGGCTTCCCGGAGTGGAGAGCCAATTTCTGTCTCTCCCAAGCAGACAAGGAGGGTGCGTTTCCAATTCTTGCTGTGCTCTAGGGTGGTGGAGAGGGACATTAAAAATGCATGCAGAGCGAAACACAGTCCCTGCCTTGCTCCCTGAGAGCAGCGTCAGGACCACACTGGCCAGGAGAGGCAGGGCCATTTGAGACACTGTATCATACCTTTGGCCCCCTGAAGACTGACATTGCTCATCCACCCCAAAACTTTTCTCCTGGGTCATTGGGCAATTCTTCCCTCTCCTACTCTTCTTGCTTCCTCCTATCATACCCTAAGTTTAAACCCTCCTTTATTCCATAGGCTCTTAAGGACAGAAGTAGGATCCCCGGTGACGATCATCCCTGTTCACTTCATTGGACTGGTATTGTCAGCACTTCTCAAACTTTTCTACCAAACAGAAAAGAAAGAGAAAATATGCTAGTGTTCTGAGGACTGCGGCCGAAACCCTACCACAGTGCAGGGAAATTAAAAAAAAAAAAACAAACCCAACATATGCACAAGAAAAACTCCAAACAAACAAAACTCATTTGAATTTGGATATTTAACATAAAAATATTTTAAATTGCCTTTGATCTGCCATGTTTTACCTTGGCAGGGTGATTTAACTTTTTAGGCAGCTTCCTGAGCTATAATAGATGGATACTAATGTCCCTAACCCATGGGTTAGGATTTATTATTGTGAGGATTTGTTGCAATAAGGCATGTAAAACACATGCCCAGTAAATGGTTAATCAATGTCAGCTGCTACTAGTTTTAATTTTATTCGCATCAGTTTGATCATTTGATTTACTCATGCATATTCCTCCTCTTCTCTCCCGTAACCATCCACCAGACAGTTATTAAGGGCTCACTGTGTGTTAAACAGACACCGKCTCTGCCATGCCCCCAGGCTTTAGAAAACTGCCTATCCCATAGCTTCTAGTTCCTTCTGCCAGCCCACCCTATGTCCAGGAATTCTGGTTCCTATTGTGAACAGCACATGCCTAAGAAATAGGGAGACTACCAAGTCCAGCACCCAGGAGACACCAGATGTAGCCTTCATGCCATGGCAGCCATGAGGGCCATTTGGCCCGAGTCTCACTTTGTCAAAGGGCCTCCGAATTGAACTGCTGCTGGTGCCTCCAGTTGAGGCAGAATTCACAGACATGCACTCCCCAGGTAATGCCATAACTCACATCCCATAACCAGACTTGCAAAATTATGGGGAAAGCATAATTATTCTTCCCTAGACTTTTATGTGTGTATGAAAGGCACTATTGTGTTATAGTTCTATATCCTTGCMTTGGCATTTTTTAATATAACATGAGTCTTAGGAAGAGTGGTGCAGGGATCTTTCTGCCCCTGAGAGGCCCTGGGAAGCATCCAATCTGGACTTGAAGGGGCACTGGATCTGGGATTCCAGGAAGGCTTGCAGAAACCTCTGTTTAGCTGCTCCCTCCTGAGATCTAGTCCAGTGTCTGGGAATGACTCGTACACACACCTGCTAAGCAGCTGCTGTGCTGTGGTCACTTCAAAGTCAAGAATGGCTGACCCACCCTAATCAGCCACAGCTCCAGAGCACAAAAACAGACATGCCCAGCCCCACCCACAGGATGTCAGAGAAAGCACACAGGCCTTGGGGACCTGTGAAGGGGGTGGCAGGCATCCAGGCCTCCTAACCTCCTTTAGGCCAGCTGGTTTTCTAGTATTGCTTTTGATTGTAGTGGTTTTAACTGGCTTTTAAAAAGCAGCTTCCGGTTCCCTCTGCCTCAGAAAACCCCTGGCCTCTGAGGCATCTCTTGCAAAGACAGAAGGGTCTCCTAAGCTGGGTAAGCKTCTTGCTCAGCTGGGAAGGCGTTTGGGCTGAAAGTCTCTGTGGAACTCTTTGCAAGCTGTACTCCCTTATAAGGCACCCATTCTTTGCCTGGTGGCTCTCTTTTCCTGATTTCAAAGTACTTTTCCAGGACTAACATATGTCCAAGAGGCAAGCAGCCAATGCTGTGTTGCCAGGCACCCCACAGTTACAGCACACMGTCATTGACCCAAGAAATACAGAACTTGCTAGGTGCTTGCTTCCACTTCACCCCCCAGCTCTGATCTCAATGAATTATTTCAGCAGTCTCAAGAGCAGRTTCTTAGGAGGGAAGAACCCTGGCTTGTGCCCCTAAGGTAGGGTTGTATTAGAATCTGGATCTAAATGAAAACGTAAATAAAACATGCTCTTTCCCACCACCTGACGATTCAGCTTCTGGCTGGCGAATGTCAATTACGTGCCAAGCTTTCCCTTTCCTGGGCTTTGGCTCATGAAAGGGTTCCACGCTTCAGTCCCCTCCCACGGACCTGGATACTACTCCACACCTGGGTTCCCGCAGCCGGCGGCGGCRTAGACTGAGAATGCCTCCCCTCATCCCACCTGCTAACTCCGACTGCTATTTCCAGGATGCATGCACAGGAGTCACGGTGGCAAAGTTACTGCGTTTCGCTTCCTGGAAGCCCAGCATCACCGTCACTAAGGCAAGCYCGTGCCCACTCTCCTCTCACCTTCGATGCAGAAATGGGAAGGGAAAGGGAAAAAAAAAAAAAAAAGAAGAAGAAGAAGAAGAAATCCGGAGGCAACAGGACCCAAACCGACAAGGCARGCGGCCGCAAGGAGGGAGGGTATTTATGATAAGGGACATTAGCTGATGACAAATGCGTTGCTTTTCCGGAAAAAAATGAAGGCAGAATTCAAGTTCCCTTTCTTCCCAGTCTTAATCATGACTCACCGGCGGCGTTCGCTCGAAGGTCCACCTGGCCGAGGGTTCTGAGAAATGACTTGGGCTCTTGGTACAACCCGGAGGCACAGCCTCCTTAATTCCTTCCCAACTCGGAGCTGCCGGGTGCTGCAGTGTTTTGCTTTCAAATATCGCAATCTGATTTGTCTGGCATCCTGTCAGTCAGAAGCTGGCGGGGACTTGACGCAGGCGAGTGGTTGTGCGGAGGGGATGGGCGGGACATCCTCCGGCCATTGGCTGCGGCGCTAAGCTTGCTTGAAGCGTAGGAGAGAGACCTGGGGACCCAGCTGGGCGCTCACCTGGTGGGGTCCCCTCTAGTGGACAGAGGAAGAACGTTGGAGCCACCTCCCTCCCCGTCCTCTGGCAGGGCAGGAGAGCTCAGGAGATTGCTCACCTCCACCTGCCCGACAGGTGTCCTCCCTTCTTATTCTCACGCCCACCTCCGGGCTTTGCTATTCCCGCATTCCACGTCCCCAAATCCTAAACGTCCTTCAAGACCTAGCTCCCCTCCAAGTCCTCGAGTATACTGGGAGCCAGACGTACCTCTCCTGTCCTGCCCTCCGGTGCCACCTGTTGTCTGGGCTCCACACCGTGCTTCCCAGCACATCTGCAGCCTAGCAATACCGAAGGGCGGCCGCGAGCCTTCCACCCGACTGCCGCTTCCCCCGTGTCCAGCTGGACTAATGCCATCCCTGTGGAGCTTTGCAGATGTCAAAACGCTCTCCATCGCACACGCATTTTCACGCGCACGCTTTTTGGTTCAGATCCTCACAGCAACTCTGAGAGGGACACTGAACTCACGCCCATTTTACAGACGAAGAAGTGACATTTGGGAGAGACCTCAACGAGGAGAAAGAACAGTTCTGGGTTCAGATCCCGGAGCAGGGAGAGCTCCGAGAGAACACTCGAGAGGGCGGGGACAGMGACACGGTAGGAGCCACCCAAAGGCGGCGGGGCTGGTGCTAGGAGCTGAGATCCGAGTAAGGCGCCAAGGACAGCTTCTAATCTGCTCGGATTTCACCCTAAATTTAAAGAGAACCACCGAATAAGCAGGGAAGTGACAAGGTCACCGTGACCATTCTGAAGCAGGGGGGGCTCTTGGACTACTAAATGGCCGCCCCCGTCTAGTTCCCCGTACCCACAGGCTGTGGTTTGCTATCATCATAAACAGGGCTTAGAAGGAGGTGAATTCTCTTAGGTTCATTCCTGGAAGTGGGAGCTTTGAGTGAGCCAAATTCTAAGGCTTTTGGTCTATCCCAAGATTTCTGAAGACTCGTCTGGATGAAACTGAATTAGGTCCCCCACAGCTCTTGCGAATAATTAACCCGAACCCTAAGATTTCTGGCAGCTTCCCGGCGGATTTTGAAACGCTTCTAACGATTGGTCAATGACTTTCCACGGCCAAGAAACGGGAGACGCCATTGGCTGGAGGTAGCGGGCGGACTCGGAATGTTAGTCCTGTGGTTGCCGTAGCGACCGGGAGGCTGGGCGGTCCAGATTCAGTACCCCTGACCCACAGGTAGGAGGCGGTTCCAGTTAGGGGCCGGTCCCTGAGGTCCTGAGGAGGAGAACGGCGCAGCCCATGGGACGCCCCCGGAGATCCGCAGCCCCCGGGTGCGTACGGAATCCCAGGGCCCCTTCCCGGAGGTGTGCCCTCCATGTCCCCGCCTGGAAGCGGCGAGAGCCGCGGCTCGCCTTCTCCTCCCAGCTCCTGTGACTTGCTTCAGCCTTTGCAAGTGCACAAACGTTTGGGGGGTCCCGTGCCGGGTGGTGGGAAGAGCCGCAGGTTGCTGAGCGCTCACCCCCGGTCCACCCACACCATCGGCTGCCCCTCAGCAAATGCCTTTCCTGTTTGGGGACTTGATTTACCCGTTTGTAAGACGGAAGGGTGACACTGCAGTCTAATGGTCACTAGGCGGCCGCTAGAGTGCCTTCCAGCCCTCTGACACACTTTCGCAGTCTAAAAAACATATCTAAGGGGGTTATTAATCTGAGAGTGCTTTGAAAAATGTAAAATACTTCCAAGATGTTTGATAGTATATCACTAAATCGTTAAAATCAACTGTAGTCAAAACTACTTAGGCAAATTCCATAAAATTCCACATAAAGTAACAGTCTAGCTGGCTTAGTATATGTACTAATATATCTTGATATACCAATGTACATACCTATCTATATACGTATGATATATTGATATGCCAATATATACTTAGTGCATATTGATATACCCTCTACAGTAATATGTGTAAAGGTATCATCTATAATACTATAGTATAAATGCATAAATTATGATAATACTGTAGCTATAATAACATATAATAACATTTTGTAAAAAGAGATGGTAGAATGAGAGCATGCCTATTGTTATAATTATGTGAGTTAAATATAGAATCTAGTTCTGGGAAGATCATAAACAAATCAATGAATGATATACAAAATAAGATGGGGTAGTGAAAAGTGCTTTCAAAGAAATAAAGTAGAGTAAGGGTCTGGAGACAGATGGGCTGGTGCTTCTTAAGAAAGGGTGGTCAGGGAAGACATTCCTCAGAAGGTTTGAGCAGAAGCCTAGACCATTTTAATGACAGGAATGTTGTCCATAGAGTGAGAACAGGTAGTCTCCATGCCACAAGGGAGATATTACAGAAGCCTGGGGAAGAGGGTTAGTCTTTAGTCTTCACAACTGCTTTCAAATTCTTGAAGTCTAGTCATATAGAGTATCTCACTGTGACTCACAATAAGAAAGGCACTTACTTTACATTATAACCCAGAGCGCACACAAACACACAAAAGTTTCACAAACATGGTCAATCTAAATTTTGAAAAATCACCAATGAAGAAGAGAAATAATATTTATTCTGAATGGTTCCAAGGTTAGAAGTCAGGTGGGTTAAAGAGACAGAGGGGGGGGGGTGCGGTGGGGAGGGAATTCACTTTGATACAGGAAGGAACTTTCTAGCAATTAGAACTGCCCAACAGTGATGCCTCATTGAATTTTCAAACTGCATTCTGAAGAACCTTAGCATTCTGTGAAAATTCAAAACAGTTTCAAATATTTGCTTTGTATTTTGGAACTGTATGCAACATCTAGCTTTTCTCATGGTGACTCAAGTGCAGTAAATGTCAAACTTTGCATGTTAACGTTTAGTGTGTGCYGCCTTAGATGTTTCCCTGGAGGTCAATTGTGAGCAGAGGTCAGCCTTCATGGGTTGGAAGCCTGATTCCACCTTACTCCTCGTATGACCTTGGACAAGTCACCAAAAGCTTCCCTCTAAACTTCAGCCCTCTTGTGTGTAAAACAGTGGTGGCACCTCACTCGATTTCTGTAAGGATTGTGTGAAGTCTCTGTACAGGGGGCCGTAAGTGCTCCATAAATGATAGCTATTATTTGAAGCTGATATTACAAAGTCTCTGTTTATATTAAATCCTAACGTCATACTAGCCTCCTGAGGTCAGGCTGCATTAACTGCTTCAGTGAATCATCATGCTAATCCTCACAAGTGTCCTGAGAGAGGAAGGTGCTCTCATCCTTTCCAGTTTAGGAAGGAAGAAATGAGCCCAGAAAACTAGACCTATTAAGTGGCAGGACTAGAACCCTGACTGCTGCACCTGGGAATTGCTTAAATCGATGAGTTGGTCAGGAGGAAGGTGTATCTTCTCTGCTCTTTCTCAGATTCGAGGCCCATGACAACCTGTCATGAACAGTTGTACCAACAAGTACCCCAGTGAGGCACCCCTGAGCAGTGCTCCGTTCACACCTGGGCTGCACCAACTCCCCTCTCGACTTCCCAGGTAGGTTGGGGAGGGCTGGGAGGTAGCAGTGCTGTCGTTGGGTGGCAGGGATAGCGATTGTTTTGAACGTTTCCAGAATTTCTAACAATTTTGCAACACTTTGATAATTTGGATGCATTATTATTATAATAAGAGAATAATTTTTWAAAAATATTTTTTAGTTGTAGGTGGACACAATGCCTTTATTTTTATTTGTTTATTTTTATGTGGTGCTGAGGATCAAACCCAGTGCTTCACCCATGTTAGTCACACACTCTACCACTGAGCCACAACCCTAGCCCCAATAAGAGAATAATTTTAATCACCCATAATTCTAGAATACTGATGCATTTTTTTTTTAGTAACAGTTTTATTGAAGTTAGGGAAGAGGATGGTTTTTATTGAAACAATCAGCACTGAAGGGTTTGTGAACGGGGTTGTTTTTCTAGACCGTTAAAGATATTGTTACAGTGGAGTGGCGATTGTGCTGTGATCATTATTGATTTTTTTTTCTGTTATTTTGAATCTCTTAATTTTCTTGGAGGGTAATACCAAGTAATTCAATTAAATATTAAATTTTTAGTATAGATTACCAACCAAAGAAGGTTGAGAAATGTGGCTGAGGGTGACAGAATAAAGTAAGGAACAGATGCCTGGGGGAGGGGGTCTAGTTTAGCATAAAATTATTTATTTAATCCTTCTTTCATTAGTATTTACARATAGTGTAAGTTCGGGGCCAGGGAGTGGGCAAGATTAAACCCAAGTCCACTCATGAAAAAGTGAACCCTGGAAATTAGACTGTCTGTGCTGATGACAACTAAAAAGTAGACCCATGTGTAAACTCTTTTTAGATGTCAGAGAACAGCAGTGCCACACAGCAATTCCTGAGGCTAGAAAAGCAAAATGAGCCCTACAGTCGTCCCCACTAAGACTGTAGACAGTTTCCAGGCCACATTATTAGGGTGGAGGGAGTGATACAAAGAAATTCTGGATTTCTGAGTTGAGGGGTACTACAGTTTGGATCTTGAATGTACCCCAAAGGCCCATGTGTTGAAGGCTTTGTTCCCAGACTGGCGCTATCGAAGGTAGCAGAACCCCCAGRAGCAGTGGCCTAATGGAAGGAAGTTGGTTGCTGGGGGCGTGCCCTTAAAGAGGATATGGGGCCTCTGGTCCCTTCCTGTTTCCCTTGGCTTTCCATCTGCTATGAGTGAACAGGCCTCCTSGGCCATGTGTTCCACCATGGCGTTYGGTGCTGCCACAGGTMCAGAGTGACAGGGCCAAGCAGCTACGGATTGAAACCTCTGAAACTGCAACTCCAAATAAGCTTTTTCTCCTTTTATGTTGATTATCCCAGGTATTTTGTCACAGTGACAGAAAGCTGACTAACAGAAGGAGTTAGAGATCAGAGTTTCAGGGAGGCTAAAGAATCTAGAATTTACAAGCTGAATACCAGAGGTGGGGAGCTGCAGACAAAAACTTCATAAATCTAAAGAGGGGTCTCCCCAAGTCTTCGGCTGAGTAATACTCTGCTCATGCATGAAAAGAAACTAAGTCTGGGGCAAAGAGCAGCAGGCTGAGYACTTCTGGGGCTACTCAGAGCGGTRACATTTCATGTTCCCATGAACCAGAATGGAGAGGCATTGGATTAGAGAGGGGCTGGGGAGAGTCACAGTAGCACATGCCCTACTAGTTCCCAGGATAAAAGGTGCTCTGCACCTTTCAGAGTTTGAAATCCTGGAAGGATCATCTACAAGTTACTGAGAAGTCCGCCAGAGGCAGGGAAGTACAACATTCTTTTCAAGAATACATCACAGTGCATCACTCAGCAATGCAATTCACAATATCTAGTCCCCACACAAAATCGCCATGAGAAGACATGGAGAAATATAACCCACGTGCTGGGGAATAACCCATCAATAAAATAGTCCCAGAAATGACAGAGATTCTAGATCTAGCAGAAAAGGACCTTAAAGCAACTATTACAAATCTCACAAATATGCTCAAGGACGTAAAGGAAAACGGGAACACGACGAGGCTAGGAATGGAAGAGGCTTTTTTTTTTTAACTTAAAAAATTGTTTTTAAAACAAAATAAAAGTTCAGTTGATAGCATATGCAGAAGCTTAGACACTATGGAAGGTCAGAGAGAGAGAGAGAGAGAGAGAGAGAGAGAGAGAGAGAGAGAGAGAGAGAGCGCCTGAAGACATAGTGATATAGGAAAGGAGAGAGAAAGCAGAAAAAAAAAAGTGGCTGAAAAATAAAATAAAAGATTAAAAAAGTAAAAATAAAAATGAAAAAACAAAACAAAAAAAAAC